GAGGTTTAGACGCTCCAGGCTTATAGGGTGTGGAAATGAATGTGTCTTTATCATAGCTGAAGGGAACGACAATACGATTGCAGATGAACAAACAAGCGAACATGACACACGAGCATATTCAAGCAAAAGCCAGCATATATTAGTTCTTTGAAACAAAGCAAAACCAATGTTACTCACCTATCGAGAAGAATCAAAGCAACCTCTGCATCCGATCACAGGCCTTCCCGCTCCTTGAGCACTGGAAAGCTGATCCAAAATTTACACGGGTCCTACTTCTTGCCTTAACGTAAGCCTTCTTTTGTTCCGCAGACGTTTTCCTCTTTTGTTTTTTATCCACCATCTCTATCTTTCTGTCGTCTCTCCGCTCGGCTAATGTCCGTCCTGTGCACTGTGCGCTCTCTCCTCCACATCATGAGTAGACACGCCCCTTACTGCTGATTGGCTACAAGGAACTCGGCCCGACTCAGTTTTCTAAAGCGTTTTTCAAAAAATACATACCCCACCTTTAAGTTCAACTGTTCCAATACTTGTGCCCACATCAGATAGTGGGATGAACACTAAAAGTGCTATCCTTTTTATTTGGTAAAACATTTATGTGTTGAAACAGCTAATAATAAAATGTGACATTCTGTAGTTTTGTTTCATATTCATCTTTTAATCATATTTGCAAATGTCTTGACTCCACAGCAAACAGAGCAATTTTGTCTTTACTGTTCCAATATTTATGGAGGGCACTGTATGCATATATTACACATAATTGCTAAACACATGGTATTAACTTTTGCCCTCTTAGTCCTCCCTTTATACTAACTGTTTTGAGGCGAAGTTTGGCAGTGTACAGGCTTGGTCTAGTTGTGTCCTTTATTACAAAATATTTTACCTGCCATGTTGCAAACTTAACAGTTTTAACAGACGTTAACACAAAAAAGGCACTTCCTTTACTGTGTAAGTAATACCAAGATTTGCAGGCTCACTAAACTCAAAATGATTTAAAATAATTCATTTAATTAACACACTGAAAAAAATGTTTCATTCATCCAATTAAAAAAATGTAGGGTAATGATTCACATCTATATTTTTTAACTTGAGCCAATGAAAAATAAATAACTTGCCCTTAGGGAAACATTTTTTTCAGTGCATAATTCGTTTAGTTTTGTTCATTTCTGTGGATTAATTTGCTCTCTTCTGTAGTAAATAAATGTATGCAGGAATTTATTGCATTGTGAATGTAGAACTTGCAGTATTTTAAAATTGCCATACCTGAAATCCTACACCACTGTTCAGGCTTTTCATTTTCATGGTTTTCAACCCGGGGCACCCAAGGGCATTCTAGGAGAGTGACATAATGTAGTTCAATACACTCACACGTTCACTTACTAATATATGTCCCTGTGCGGACTCGATTGTGAGTCTGTGTGTGCTTGCTTGGTTGTTTCCCACTTGCACAACTGCTACTGAACAAGCCCACAAACTGTGGTAGTGCATTAACAACACGAGCGCAACACTGGCCTGAATCTCTCTTACACTGACCTGCTTTAATGCCACTATCACATTAAGATTCCCCAAAACACTTCATCTTGGATGAAAGGAGACACATGGCTCTGGGCTGTACATGCACACCTGCAGCATCTGGGTTTGGAGCTGTATAGCATGAAGGCAGCGTTTCTGATGGCGTTTATCAGAGCTGCTGCACATGATTCATGAAATCACTGGCCATATGACTCATGGACTAGCAGAGACACTGTTGGACAAACAATCACACTAACTCACTAACATAGTAACTGACTCATCTAACTTACTGAAACCTATACCATCTAAGTATCAGCATAACTGACTACTGACTTCACACATTCACAAATATATCAGAGCAGAGACTGAATGACAGTGAGTGTTATAATGACTGAACTGCTCGTGAATCATTCTGGAGTCCCGTATACACTCATTAAGAAGCATAAACATATGAGTTGTGTCCCAATTGACATACTATACACAGTGCACTTATGCAGTGTATTCAACTGTCTAGTCTAGTGTATGAATTTTACATGTAGCCTATTTATCATCCAATTTTGAAATCTGATAAAGGACTCTATATAATGAAAACTGCAACAGTTGAGTGCATGAAGTGTTCAAAATTCCACACTTAGTTTTTTGTTTTTTTAAGTTTTCAGTGTGAACACGCTATGGTTTTTATACTACAAAATAGCATAGAATAATGCATAAAGACAAATGGGGCACAACTAGGGTTTGTGAGGATTTTTCTATTTACATAAAGATTTTTACATGCCTTATAATCACTTTCACTAGCCCCACCAACAATAAAATGTATTGCAAATTATGAATGGCATATTTTTGTGGTAGACTGTTCATCATGTGAAAAGATCATAATGTAAATATATATATATATATGTGTGTGTGTGTGTATATATTTAAATATAAAATATAATTGTGTTTTTTCTGATATGTTTAAGTAATGAGTATTCTATATATATATATATCATGACAACTCTCTTGTTGGCATGGTAATGTACATGATAATGTTAATGTATTTGGTCTTGGCGGAATAGATCTGCTACTCTGCTGCGGCAGTGGAAGTACCGAGACTTGCTACTGCTAATACATCCACAACATGCTGCTGTGAGCATGTAAGAAATAGTGCTGCTGCAAATATAACATACATGAAATAACCCCCATATAGCATACATGAATCACCTCGTAGCAGATCTATACAGGTGGAGCTGGGGAAGGTGAAGAGTTTCAGAAGCAAGCTGCAACTGCTATGGCAAGCACTAGTCATATATTTGAATGTTGAGCAGCAGCTCATTGGCTACCGATACAGGAGAGAACCAATCAGCTGTGCCATGTGATAATGATGTCATTAGGTCAGATTGAGTTAGACCTATCGGACTGCGCCATCTAGAGTTTAATGCCAGAACTCTGTATATATTTATAAAATATAGATCTCACAATTCTGTGGATTCTGTGTCAAATATTCACTACCTCTGCAAATCATTGAATGAGGCATTGAGATTACATTGCCTCACCTTTTACTATTCCGAGCAAACAGTCCTTTGCCTAAATATAGACATGATCTCTGACATAACAACCAGGCTTTTGCCATTTTTTTATATTCTTGCTGTGGCCAGTTATGTACTTGGCCCAGCTTACACTGGTTTGACTTGGAAAACATTATGCTTGGGTGTTTTGTTGAGATCCCTTCGAGGTGAACATTGGAATGCTGAATGACTAATTCTGTTCAATATGGCTGCCAAGTGTGTGTACTGTATCACTCACTGTGCATGTCTACATATTAGTCTGGCTAGTTCCTATATCCAGTTCTGGCCGTTGCTCAGGCAACCGCCAACATCTCACTTACAGTGCCCATTGCACATACAAACATCACATAGAAGATCTGCAGTCTCTTTCCTAACTACAGGACAACATGATCGTGATATTGCAGTGGATGAACTTGTCCTGCCCCGTCTTCTGCTGTTTGACATTTGAGCTCCATTCAAAATTGGCACAATGTCGTGAAGGTTTGTTCGATGGATGAACTTCAGACAGCCTTCAAATCAAGCCTCTGTCACTGGTTTCCCGCCAAATTGTGCTTGTAACACTGTTTACAGCAGGAGAATGGCCGTGTGTGGTCTGACCTGCCGTTGTGTTTTGCATCGACTCAGTCCATCCCCCTAGTCCCTCTCCTCTGGTCCTGGGGCAGTGAAAGGATACAGTGGGTTAAGTCTCCTGAACACAGAGCTGAAGGATGGGGATATTGTGTTCTGAACTGCAGTGCACTTGTTGACGCAAGAGCATGGATGCCAGAGTATTGTAAACAAAGCTGTGGTGTCAGTCAGATGGGCTCTGCTGTGAATGGAAACCACTAGTGGGACAGCTTTCAACTTTCAGCTACAACCAATGGCTTACTTGTATGATATATGTATTAAACTTACCTTACCATTCAATTTGGGTCAGTTAGATATTTAAAATGTTTTGAAAGAAGTCTCTTATGCTCACCATGGCTGCATTTATTGGATGAAAAATACAGTAAAAACTGTAATATTGTGAAATATGATTATAATTTTATAATTTTATATTTAATATTAAATTTAAATAGTGTTTTCTATTTTAATAGATTTTAAAATATAATTTGATAGAATTATGATAGCAAAGCTGAATTTTCAGAAGTCATTACTTCAGTCTTCAGAAATAATTCTAATATGCTGATTTTGGTGCTCAAACATTTGTTTATCAATGTTGAAAACATGCAGTTGTGCCATGTTATAAACAGTTATGTTAATGTTTTGTGGAAACAGTGATACATTGTTGTGAAATAGAAAATTCAAAAGAACAGCATTTATTTGAAATAGAAACCTTTTGTAAAACACTCTTAAAAATCTTACTGAGAGGACATATATTTAAATATTTAAATATTTTAGAAAATTAAAGGAAAAGTTATTATATGGCACTGTTTTAATTTTAAAACAAAGCTGTATGTTTTCATCTTGCATATTGCTATTTGGAAATATTGTAAAAATTTTGAGCCGAGCTTGGTTTTTAGGTATTTTTTAGTTAGGTAATTTCAGCGTGTAGTTGAAATAACCATAAAAAAAAAAACAGCTTTTAGAAGCAACATTGCAGACGAAAAAATTTTAAGTATATTTTTTTCATTCATATGTGACATCTGTGCCAACCCCACTAATGAAAAGCACATTAAACTGGCATAGAAGAATTTTAGCAATGAAAACAAATTGCACACTTCACCTTTAAAGAGTCAGTACAGGCTGTCCTGTAATGTATGCTTTCATACCTGTTTTTATACAGTCTATGGTTCATACACTGAACTCCGCTTTTCTCTGGCCTCTGACCCTCCCCCCTCCACCTCCTTCACTCAATAGCTTGTTCAGGGTTTAAGTGTTTTCCTGATGCAGTGGAGATATTTACCATGTCTTCTGTCCTCTTTTATCTGCCTCTTCTACCCCAAAATCTTTCTTTCTTTCTTTCAGTGACTATATAATCAAGGAGAAGACAGTCCTCCTGCAGAAAAAAGACAATGAAGGTTTTGGCTTTGTGCTGAGAGGAGCCAAGGGTAAGTGCAGGGTGCATAATATTTTATTTATATAATAATTTATGTTTCAGCATTTCATTAGCCACAAAGTTAGATCACAGATTTGTCATTATGCAGTAAATAGACACTCATTAACAGGATCATATATCACTTTGTCAAGTAAGTTTTATTGAAAGACAAAGATTTTGAAGATGAATTTGCAATCTTACATATTTCGTCACAATCAAAATTAGAAAAGAGAAGAAAAAAAAACATCACAAACCATTCCTTACCAGACCTGTTTGCATTAAATTGTAAAGTATGATGAAAAAATATTAAAATATTTTATTAATATTAACAAATGATGCATTACTCCGTAGAGAAACGGGTGCTAGATTTTGTTAAACTGCTCAAATTTTCCCTTCAGGTAGTACCTAATTTGTTCCAAATGTAAAGTAGAAATCATCTCTCCAAGCCATAGCTTACATGAGAGACACTCCTTTTTTTTTCCAGAACAACAGTAGTAACGTCTTGGCTGTAATTAAACTGTATGCAAGCAGTTTGTGTTGTGCTCCTGATAATGAATGCATATGTTTAGAAAGTCCCAGAATTTAAAGTGCCGTGTTTACACCCTAAAAATCTCTGTTTTTGTTATTAAAGTCGATGGCTTGGGGTGACAAAAAACAGTTGTGTGACATTACCCAAAAAAGACTGCTCCAAAAACTACTGGCAAAAAATCTTTTAATAAATCGACCCCCCTGAAAGTCATTGAATAATTCACACACTGCATAAGAGGGCACATTCACTCTTGCTCTTTATCTCTTACGCACACATTTATACTGATGCGTTCCAGAACTGGAATGAGAACATTTGACACGATCTTTTATCACTGTTCATCTTTTCTTTTTCATTTTCTCGTGTTTTCTCATTATTGTCCATGTATTGTCAACCTCAATAGAACATTCTGGAAAGGCACGCTACACTGATTATATAAATGTCCTCTCTTTGTAGCTCAGACCCCTATAGAAGAGTTCACTCCCACCCCAGCCTTTCCAGCACTGCAGTACCTTGAGTCTGTCGACGAGGGTGGCGTGGCTTGGAGAGCTGGTCTGCGAATGGGAGACTTCCTTATCGAGGTGTCTGCAGAACTGCATCATGGAACTTATATTCTGTTCTTCCCTCTTTGTCATTCCTTCAAGTCTCTCTAGAAGTGTCCTCATTACTCAAGGTCTCTCTGTATCTTTCTGTATATTGTTTCTTTCTCTTTTCCAGGTGAATGGTCAGAATGTGGTTAAGGTGGGACACAGGCAGGTGGTCAATATGATCAGGCAAGGCGGCAACAGCCTCATGGTCAAGGTTGTCATGGTTACCCGGAACCCTGATATGGAGGAAGGGGTCCGAAAGAAAAGTAAGAGATACAAATTCACACAGCAGAGACACACAAGTGTTACATGATGATCATCATCGGACACCGGTGACACTCTTTCTCTCTCTCTCTCTCTCCATACAGTCCCACAGCAGAGTAAAAGGCTGAGCACACCGGCTATCGCTCTGCGCTCCAAATCCATGACATCAGAGCTGGAAGAGATGGGTAAGATGTGGGAAATGAGAGGACAGAAGCATGGGGGGAAAAAGTGCAGTGTTTCCCAACCTTTTTTGACCCGTACAGCCCCCTCACAACGGCTCAATTACCCCTTAATCAGCACAAACCAGAAATGTTTCATTTGAATTCATATTATGCTGGATATGATTTACAGTGATCATTCTATCAAGTGACGTAGAAATCTGCCTCTGTCTATGTAGTACATACTCTACTGTTCAAAAGCTTGGGCTCATCAGGAATATTTTTTAAAGAAATGTCATATGCTTGTCAAGGCTGCATTTATTTGATCAAAATACAGTAAAAACATGAATATTGTAAAGCATTATAACATTTTAAAATAGCTGTTTCTGTTTTCAATAACTAATTAAGCGAAGGTGAATTTCAGCAGTCATTACTCCAGTCTTCAGTGTCACATGATCCTTCAGAAATCATTCTAATATGTGACCCTGGACCATAAAACCAGTCATAAGGGTCAATTTTTTGAAATTGAGATTTATACATCACCTGAAAGCTGAACAAAATTGTTAAGATAGGACAATATTTGGTCGAGATACAACTATTTGAAAATCTGGAATCTGAGGGTGCAAAAAAAATCAAAATATTGAGAAAATCGTCTTTAAAGTTGTCCAAATGAAGTTCTTAGCAATGCATATTACTAATCAAAAATTAAGTTTTAATATATTTACAGTAGGAAATTTACAAAATATCTTCATGGAACATGATTTTTACTTAATATCCTAATTTGGCATAAAAGAAAAATCAATAATTTTGACCCTTTGTACACTGTATTTTTGGCTATTGCTTCAAATATATCCCAGCGACTTAAGACTGGTTTTGTGGTCCAGGGTCACATATACTGATTTGCTGCTCAAGAAACATTTCTTATTATTATCAGTGTTGAAAACATTTTGCTGTCATACATCTAGTTATAAATAAAGTTAAGGAATCAAGCATTTGTGTGAGGGAAAAATGTGTCATTTTTTCAGGGCTATTTAATGAATAGGAAGTACAAAAGAACAGCATTTATTTGAAATGGAAATCTTTTGTAAAAGTATTTGTCTTACTGTCATTTTTGACCAATGTAATGCATCCTTATAGTATAAAAGTATTAAAAGTATTAAAAAAAAAAATTGAACAGTAGTGTATTTAGCATTATAACATACAAAAAGTACAAACCAAATCATCCAAATCATGTGTAAACAATTATTTTAATCTATTAGCAGCCCTAATATTTTAAGGAGTAATTTCTATCATATGGGTTTAGCAAAAAACAAAATCTTTTAAGTACTTCCTGCTTATGTAACCCCTGGGGTTCGCATACCCTCGGCTGGGAATCACTGCACTAGAGGACAGAACCAGAAGGTTTAGAGAGAGAGAGGACAGTGAGGAGAGAAATTCAAGAGAGGATGAAAGAGCCAAATAGAATAGTTTGAACGGTCAGAAGGGGGAGGGGTGGAAGAAGAGAGAGTGAATGGGAGAAAAAACTATCACAGGCATACACTGAAAGAAGTAGAAAGGATGGAGGGAAGTGTTTGAACTGGATGGCATAGAGATAGAGAGGAAGAGAGAGAGAGAGCATTAAGAATGTTCTTTCACTGTTCTTTCAGAAGTTCCACACTGTCACTACCAGCACCCCCACTACAGGTAACCCCCCAAAAACTGTCCCCTCCCAACCCTTATATCCCCCGCCTTCCACCTTATCCCTCAATCCTACACCTGCAACCCCTGTTAGCTTTAACCCTAAACCTCAATCTAAACCACCTCCCTTGTAGTCACACACCTCTGGCTCTCAGAGAAACAGGTTTCTGAGTGCTGCGTGTGTTGCTGTAGTAACGCAGCGGGCAGTGGGCATTGCTAGAGAGGCACAGTATGTGC